TGTGTGTGTGTGTGTGTGTGTGTGTGCGTGTGTGTGACTTACTATGGGTGGATCTTGATGAAGCTGCAATCTCTGAAGAACTTATGCATTTGCTCAGTGAACTTTTGGTCTTTTTGGTCAGCTTGTTTGTAACATGTATTACTGATGTGTACCTACAAAGGCCTTGTATTTATCTTATGGTTGATACAACAGCATCTGTCTTCACTTCTAGTATGATGGTTATAAACTATATCTTGGTTATATAATGGTTATATCTGCTAAAGAACTCTAAGTACAAGTATGTAGGGTTTGCTGGGTGGATTGACCACTTTTGTAAGGGTTGTCTCAAGTGTGAGCTGTCTGTGTAGCCATTCGATTTGAACTAATACTGGAAAATAACAGTAGGAGAATAAAAGTGTGAGTTAGATTGCTAGGTATGAGATTTTACAGTTGGATTTTATGCACTAGTCATATGAACCAGGCCCTCCTGTGCAGTCCAACTGCCTCTTGTTTGTTTTTTCATTAAATGATGACAAAATAGAGCCAGAATATTGTATTGCAGAATATTTGGGAAGTGAAGCCTGTGTCACACTTTCTGTTATTCTTTCATAAGAGTCTGGTGAATGTTTTGGTGATTTTTGGTGAATGTATTTCTTTAATAATGGTAAACAAAAAAGGTGTGATGTACAATATATGAGCAATAACTTTTGGCTTCTGATTAATTTTTTTCCACTTTTAATTGTTTTGTTAATGCTGTAAAGGCTATTTGGTGGCAATGTGGGGAAGTGTGATTAATACGGTTCATCATTTTTTATTCAAGTACACATTCAATACATGTATCTGAACTGAAAAATTTTCATTTATTAGAAATAATGCAACCATTACCATGGTTTCTTGAAACTTATATGTTTTATTAAAGTTTATACAAACTGAACATTATTTGGCAGCATGGCAAAGTATTCACAAAATCAACTACGGAAAACTATATTGAATTTTCCAATCCAGGTGGCTAACTGATTATGCAATAGGTAAAAAACCGGCACTCGCAAGGTGATCAGTCCATCCAGTACTTTATTTGTTAAAAGGCTTACTTACATGTTTCAGCCTCCAAACTGGGCCTTAGTCATGGCTACAACATGTAAGCATTTGTTTGTTTGCTCCTGTTATGCCTTTTAACAAATAAAGTACTGGATGGACAGATCCCCTTGCGAGTGCCGGTTTTTTACCTATTGCTCAGTGAAGGCTCTGGCAGAAGCTTTACCAGGCACTGAGGTTTTAGCAGCTGGATTGGAGACAAGAGAGTAGAGCTGCTCAATTTGTCTAAACTGCTAACTGATTATGAACTTTGTTTTTACTATTTGAACTAAATTAATTATTAAGCTAACGGAGTTGATGTACTAAAGAAAACGTTGGGGGTTGTCTTTTATCTTAGATGGTTGTAATATATCAACCCCATGGTGTGAAAACCACAAAAACTGTATTTTATAAATTGTATATGTATGGGTTACATAAGTTAAAAGGTTCGTGCCACTCCAAATAGGTGATTTGATAATGGTAATCAGCAGTCTAATATTGTGGTACCATACATGTCAGTTGTATAGTCCTGAGCAACAGGTGATATTTGATCTTGTGCAATTTTGACTTAACATTAATATTGTAGTTTAAGGTACATTCTCTAGTAGGTTTTTCGTAATCATTTTTGGGAAGACTCAATATATTGTTTGTTTCTACTCTCTAACATTGGATTTTTAGATTGTATTAAAGTAGTATTAAACCTTCAAACTTTTTAGCAATAAATGCAAATATACATTGCCCCTGAAAGAAATGCTTTAAATGTTTGCCCAAGTACTTACAGTCATCATGATACAGAAAAGCTGTCTCTAACTCTCTCAGCTCCACTTCCTTGAAATACCTGCTGAGTGCAAGATCACAAGGGACAGAGCAAGCTCCAGGAACTGTCCATCTACTATTTTGAAAAGGGGGTAGGGGGAGTAAGGAGAAGGGGAAGCAGAGAACAGTGGCTTGCCTTGCTGTACTTGTGTGTGGAGTCTAACACACACAAGGGTGGCTCCAAAAGACCCTGCAAGGTAAAGGAGCCACCCTAAAACAGGATATCAGGGCCAGTGCTCAGGGGACTAGCTGATTCTGCAGGAACTAAACGTTTTAAACAACAAGGAGCATCATCCATTGTCAATGATTTAATCAGGATTTAAAATAGTAAAAGAATTTTGATTTACATTAAAGTGTATCTTAACCCAAGATATATTGCAACTTAACAATGCTTATATTTGGCGGCTGCATTAGGTTTATTTTTTGGCTTACATTGCTTTTTTTATTCTTTATTTATAAATGCCACACCAGAAGTACAAAGGATAACAAGAACAGAAAATTGTTAAGGACATGCAATAACATAGTCAATATAGAGCAACATACAAAATGGCTTATCCACCCAACAGCGTCCTCAAATACAAGAAGATCAGGCGAATCACGGACCCCGCACTTCCATGGCAAATTTTTATAAATAAAAGGGAACTATCAGAAAAAACAGAGAACCCAAAAACAAACCCCAAAGTAAGATAAAGTGAGAATAGAGAAAGATAAGACATTTTTATAAATTCTTTATTTAAGGCTTTTATTAAGCAAAATTACAATATACAGAAGAAACTGAACAAATAAAATGTATAATGAGATACAAAGGTAGGAAAAATGCAGGGGCATAAGTCCAAAAGGTCCAAAGGACCCCATTCAAAGATATGCATGTATCTTAGTGAAGGAGTCAGAAAATCTTGTACGAAGGGCACAACATTAGAGGTTAGTAGCAAGTAAGCCATATAAGTTTAAATGTGCAGGAAAATGCAGCTAGTAGAGTGGGAAACAGGAGAAGCCAGAGGGAGCATGGAAGTTGCAGAGCAGACTAAAGGTCAAATAGAGAGGTGGGCATGAAGAACCAATGAACATGGAAAAGTAATAAGAAACAGAAGGATGGGAGAGGGAGGATGTCCCGGGGAAAAGGTACCAACAGCGCCCAAAGGGGCAATCCAAGTTCAGACACTGGATCCCAGCTCCCCATAGGGAAACTTACAGGATTTTGGTGTATTGAATTGTTGGAGGTGCAGCTTGTTTCCACAAAATGGGAATACAAGCCCAGGCCGCATTAACCAAATGAGTAGAGAAGATGTGTAAGTCTTTAAAGAAATGTTATTTTGATGTAACAAGAAAAGGGCAAGGTCATCAGGAATGGATGTATCTGAGAGTTTTTGGCTAACTTCTCAGACTTCAGATTCCAGAAGAGAGGACAGGACAACACTCATTCACTGTACTGTATCTGTGGAGAAGCACTGTTGTCACCCTAGGAAATTAAGTATTTAAGGCCTGCAAAAACCTACTCCTCCTCTCCAAAATATGGGGAGTGTTCTGTAGTTCACATAGCTAAACTGGGAAGGACTAAAAATATTGCTTGGGTTATCAGTGCTGCAGAGGCAGAGAGCACAATAGGTTTCAGAATTACTCGATTTCTACCAGGATTAAAAGGTATTTTTTGCACTTATCAGACAGATGTTAATTACATAATAAGTATATACTTTTATTTTATCCAAGACTTCCATAATTTTAAACAGTGTTTTACATATCTAGAAAATCAGCAAGTAAGTGTATGTATCTGTTTTTCTGTTTCATGCTTTCAGAGATTCATTTAGCACACAGAGTAAGGATCTCTGGAAAAGGTCACTGGATGGTATTATTTTCATATGGTGAACTGATAAGTGAATGCTCCACCTGCCAGGTGTTTAATGCATCACACAGCTTTTGCTGAACCAGAACACAATAAAAAAAGTAGTGATTCAACCATTAAGTCACTAGTGAAGCACTACAGGCATGAATTAGTTACAGGTACACTTTAGGCTATGCTACCTTGAAAAAAAAGGCTTTTCTCCTTTTGGGAAGATGTTGTTTGCATGATACTGAAAATAATATTTTTTTAAGCAGCCTAAAAGTATCTTTTTATAGAAGACATTTTTTAGAAGACATTTACCTTGAACTCCTAAATAGGAGCCAGATAAAATGCATAGCATGTATCCAGCTTCACAAGAAACAGAACCTGTAACCTGCATAGAGGTAGAATGTATTTTATGTAACGTGTCTTAGGCTTATGTAGTTTTAAAGTTATTTTATTACAAATAAACTGTATGTTGATTTTAGCATTAACTATACCATTTTTACTGAGCTGTTAGCATCTAAACCTTTTAGATACCAGACAGTGAATATGAACATTCATATAGGCTAACAACTTTATTATTAATTTTAAACAATCTATTTAAAGTTTAACATTTAGACCAATTTTTTTAAAATTGAAATAAATGTTCTAAAATGTTAAATTAAAAGCTTGCAATCAAATGAAAAAATAACATAATGGCTAAATGGAACTGTGGACTGAACTGTACAATTTCAGTGTTGCAGTTCCTCGCTTATACCTCAGAGCGCCGCTGTTTGACCAATAAGGAGAAGAATACAGAACCTGGAGATCTACTGATATTTTTATCACACACAAAGATTGCAGATCTGTAAGAAGAGGCACAAAACCATTTTTCTGGATTCCCTCTGCACATACCCAGGACCCTTTCTTGTCTTCATAAATACATGGATTGATACATACCTCCTTTCTCTTTGGATTTTAAATGCTAACTACTCTGAATGATATTTCTGTAACATGCTAAGAATGAGTGCTGAGATAAAGAACCATTTACACACATACAAAGGCATCAGATGGCAAGTAATACTCTCCTTCTTATTTTCCTGGATATGTCATTTAGTTTCTGGTCAGATTCATTATGCAATTGTAGAAGAAATGAGAAAAGATTCTGTTATAGCAAATATTGCTAAAGACCTTGGATTAGATATCAAACAACTCTCATCTAGAAAGCTGCAGATCATGTCACATGTATCAGAGAAATATTTTTATGTGAATCTAGACAATGGAAATCTGTATGTGAAGGACAGGATAGACAGAGAAACACTGTGTGGGGCAGCAGCTACCTGCTTCCTAAACTTTGATGCTGTGGTTGAAAATCCCTTAAATGTTTTCAGCGTTAGTGTAGAAATTCAAGATATCAATGATAATTATCCTGTGTTTTTTCATGAACTTTTTACAATAGAAATGGTAGAATCTACTTCTCCTGGGACAAGATTTACATTACAAGGTGCAGAAGATCCAGATATTGGTCTTAATTCAGTACAGACATACAAGCTTAATGATAATCAGCATTTTATACTGGTTGAGAGCATAAATCCAGATGGAAGTAAATTTCCAGAACTTGTATTAGAAAAACCTTTAGATCGAGAGACTATAAAAGCTCATGAATTAATTTTAACAGCATTAGATGGAGGTAATCCATTAAGATCTGGAACTGCCCAAGTCAGAATTATTGTTACAGATGCTAATGATAATTTCCCTGTATTCACTGAACAACTGTATAAGGTCAGTATAAATGAAAATATCCCAGTCAATACTGTTGTAGCTATTGTAAGTGCAATGGATAAAGATGAAGATGTGAATGGACAGATTACATATTCTTTCAGCAAGACATCAGGAAATGTGAATCATAAAGGATCATTTACTATTAACCCCTTAACTGGCAATATTAACATTAACAAAAAGTTGGATTTTGAGGAGGCAAGGAATTATGAGTTGGCTGTACAAGCTAAGGATGGAGGAGGACTTGTTTCACACTGTAAGGTATTGATAGAAGTAATAGATGAGAATGACAATGCTCCGGAGATATCCATCAAATCCTTATCATCCCCTATTCCTGAGGATTCTGAACTTGGAACAATGATAGCTCTAATCAGAGTCCATGATAAAGATTCAGGAGAAAATGGTGAAGTTGACTGTAGACTCGCAGTAGAAATGCCTTTTAATTTGGTTTTGTCCTCTAACAGTTTTTATACAATTATCACAACAGGCCCTATGGATCGAGAGAAAGTGTCTAATTATAATATAACAATTGTAGCCACAGACAGAGGATGCCCTCCACTATCCAGTCACCAAACCATCACACTGGAGATATCAGATGTTAATGATAATCTGCCACTGTTTATGAAATCTACTTATGTTGCTTATATACAAGAGAACAATTTACCAGGAGCCTCAGTATATAGTATACAAGCATCAGACGCCGATACTGGAGACAATGCTAAAATTATTTACTCAATTAAAAACAAATACACAGAAGATCTTTCTATGTCTTCCTATTTTTCTCTTAATATAGAAACTGGAGTTATGTATGCTCAGAGATCATTTGATTATGAGCAGCACAAAGAGTTTGTAATAGATGTAACAGCAAAGGACAATGGGCACCCAACTCTTAGCACCAATACAACATTAACTATTAAAGTAATAGACCAGAATGATAATGCACCAAAACTCCTATATCCATTCCCAGAGAGTGGAGCATCAGCAGGGTTTGAGATGGTCCCTTTTGCTGCTGAGCCTGGATCGTTAATAACAAAGGTGGTTGCAGTGGATGCAGACACTGGACATAATGCTTGGCTCTCTTACCATTTCATACAAGTATCTGAACCCTCTTATTTCTCAATTGATGAACATACAGGAGAAGTTAGAACACAGCATATTTTTAAAGAGAAGGATACACTGAATCACAAGGTTGTAGTGATGGTAAAGGACAATGGGATTCCATCTCTTTCTGCTACGGTTACCATCACTCTTGTTGTTGCAGATAATTTCCAACAAGTAGTTCCTAAATTTGTTAGTCAGTTTACTAATGACAATTCTCAATCTAATCTGCAGTTGTACTTGGTAATTGCCCTAGCAGTAATATCTTTACTATTTATTATAACAGTCATGTTGGCTGTTGTATCTAAATGCAGGAAGTCTAAACCATTCCCATTATATGGGCCTGTCAGCTCAAATTTATACCCTCAAGTTGATCCCAGAATGCTATCTCAATATGCCACTGGAACACTAACTCTTCCCTACTCTTACAATGTATGTGTGGCTTTGGATTCTGGGGAAAGTGACTTTACATACATGAACACAAATCAAAATGTCCCTGTGGATAATCTTATCGATGCTGACAATTCAGGCCTTGGAAATGAAAATTTAAAGGAGGCACTGCCAATCATGAGTCAAATCCAGGTGAGTTTTTAAAATCTGTAAACACTTTCCATACGTCTCCACTAGGAAAATGCTTTATATTATACTAATAAATTGCAATATGTGTTTTATTTCGAATTTGTATCCTGTGGAACAGGTTTATGTTACATGCAAATTAATCATGGTTACCAAACAAAATATCTTATATATCTATTAGGGCTGGTAATGATTAAAATTTTCCTGTTCGATTAATCGAATTTTTTTAAATCGACTGGAACTACAAGTCGCAGCTGTACTGCCGACTTGTAGTTTCCTAGTAGTACAATGACATTATAGAACATGGAATAGAATATAGTCAGTTTCAGCCATATTCTATTCCATGTTCTATAGCTTGAGCAGGGTGCTGTAAAAAAAACATACCAGCGTGGGGGGACAGCGGCCGGGAACATCGAGGCGGGTCTCTGTATCAGATGCCTGCTGCTGGGTCCTCGCAGCTGAGGTAACGAAGGGAAGGGGAGGAGTCCGGTGACGTCATGGACATCGAAGTCAACTGACTCCTCCCCCCTTCCCTTCGTTACCAATCACGGATAACTACATCACCCGACTCCTCCCCCTTCCCTTCGTTAGCCGACAGAGCCACTCTGGGAGGGGGGGAGGAGTGAGTACGGAAGCCGGCGGAGAGGTGAGTACTTTGATCGATCAAAATAATTTTGATCGATCAAAGAAATTAACGATTAATCGACGGATTAATCGTTCATTTCCGCACCCCTAATATCTATATAATATTTTAAGTTAAGAAAAATAAATGAGACTCTGCTAGACACAGACACTGAGACCAGAGTTGCAACAAAGCCTAATGCTGGAATGGGAACTAATGCCGCCTAGATTACCTATAAATCACAAATGAATATAATGGTAACAACTTGTATATATTTGTTTCTGTCACGGTTCATGGGGTTGCAAGCCCACAAGCGAGCAGGTGGCACGGGATCCCCTAGGGTGCAGATTTTAAGGGCCAGCCAGTGTTCTGCCGAGGACCCCATTACAGAAGTTTGGACTTAGCTCCATTCTGACCCCAGGTCATAACCCCCGAGTTCACCCTGCTCACAGGTGGGGAGTACCCATACACACCGAAGGCAGAGAAGGAAGCTGCTTCCCAGGCATCGATGGCAAAGGCAGGAAGGTGGCAAAGCAAAATGAGATCCGGATAATGAGCCAAAGGTCAGGGAGGGCAGCAAATAATCATAATCAGGAGAACAAGCCAAGTTTGTACACAAGAGATCAGTCCACCGGAAGTCAGGTCAGGAATAAACGCACAGAACGGGCTGGTCTGAGGGGGATTTAAATAGGGAGAAAGATAGGTGGCAGGACAGGAAGTAGCAGAAAGCAAGGTACATTAAATGAGAACTATGGGGTTAGGGCTTTTCCCCATAGTTCTCCTAAGGGTAACGGGAGGACACAAACTAGCATCCTCCCGTCACCCAAAGCTCAGTATACCGCGAGCCACAGCTCACGATATACTGAGACGACGCAGCCGGAACGGATCCCGACAATTATGTCTGGATCCACCCAGCTGCGTGAGTGACAGCTGGCTCTGCCTATCTAGAGGCAAAGCCAGCTGTACCCGCCCCATCCGTTCTGCCAGTCAGCGCTGGAGGATCGGACAGGGGAGGAGGGAATCCAGTCCCTCCCCTGTCACGGCACTCTGCACGGATTGATCGAGAAGTGAGCGAGCGCCGGTATGTGTTCGCTCACTTCCCGATCTACTGATCCGACCTGTGACAGTTTCATTGTCACAGGTCGGCTCAGATTATGAGACTGAGTGAAAATCACTCACCTCATAATTCTCCTTTAACTATCAGGTGAAGTGGACGACACCCATAGCTGCTAAGTCAGTGCAGCAAGAGCAGAGCACATGCTTGTAGAACCACAGGTTCCAGCAGGCTCAAAGAAGCAAATGATAAAAAAACAAATGCAAAGCAGTTCAGCACCGATCAGCTCTGCAGCTGATCTGTGACAGTTTCCTTGTGATACTTTTCTTTGTAATGATTTTTTAGTCACTAAGAATGTTAATGCTGAAGTGACTAAAAACTATTTTATGATAATGATTGCTGCAAATTATCAGTACGTTTTTACACATTCTTTCCTCATTCAGAGCGAGCATTGTCTGAAACTTTGCAGCGTTTCTGTTTTTTACCTTTGGATGATTTGGGTAATTCAGTGCTGCTGTTGCTATATTTAAATAATGTTTTACAATGAGATCCGGATAATGAGCCAAAGGTCAGGGAGGGCAGCAAATAATCATAATCAGGAGAACAAGCCAAGTTTGTACACAAGAGATCAGTCCACCGGAAGTCAGGTCAGGAATAAACGCACAGAACGGGCTGGTCTGAGGGGGATTTAAATAGGGAGAAAGATAGGTGGCAGGACAGGAAGTAGCAGAAAGCAAGGTACATTAAATGAGAACTATGGGGTTAGGGCTTTTCCCCATAGTTCTCCTAAGGGTAACGGGAGGACACAAACTAGCATCCTCCCGTCACCCAAAGCTCAGTATACCGCGAGCCACAGCTCACGATATACTGAGACGACGCAGCCGGAACGGATCCCGACAATTATGTCTGGATCCACCCAGCTGCGTGAGTGACAGCTGGCTCTGCCTATCTAGAGGCAAAGCCAGCTGTACCCGCCCCATCCGTTCTGCCAGTCAGCGCTGGAGGATCGGACAGGGGAGGAGGGAATCCAGTCCCTCCCCTGTCACGGCACTCTGCACGGATTGATCGAGAAGTGAGCGAGCGCCGGTATGTGTTCGCTCACTTCCCGATCTACTGATCCGACCTGTGACAGTTTCATTGTCACAGGTCGGCTCAGATTATGAGACTGAGTGAAAATCACTCACCTCATAATTCTCCTTTAACTATCAGGTGAAGTGGACGACACCCATAGCTGCTAAGTCAGTGCAGCAAGAGCAGGGCACATGCTTGTAGAACCACAGGTTCCAGCAGGCTCAAAGAAGCAAATGATAAAAAAACAAATGCAAAGCAGTTCAGCACCGATCAGCTCTGCAGCTGATCTGTGACAGTTTCCTTGTGATACTTTTCTTTGTAATGATTTTTTAGTCACTAAGAATGTTAATGCTGAAGTGACTAAAAACTATTTTATGATAATGATTGCTGCAAATTATCAGTACGTTTTTACACATTCTTTCCTCATTCAGAGCGAGCATTGTCTGAAACTTTGCAGCGTTTCTGTTTTTTACCTTTGGATGATTTGGGTAATTCAGTGCTGCTGTTGCTATATTTAAATAATGTTTTACTTCTAATTGCGCTGAAGGTTTTTACTCTCTTTCTGTAGTATTTGACATAAAGTAAAGGTGTTTTATTTCAACCGTTCCAGTCCTTTTCCTTTTTATAGTAAAAACCCCCCAAAAACTACTGTTTTATTTAACACCACCAAAAGAAAGCTTTGCCTGTCCTAATAATGATATAAAATGCTTTAAGGTACAGTAAATTTCAGTCAAAACATCACAGTACTGAAAACTAAACACATGGCCTAGGCAGCAAGGGAGTGCTGGTCCAGAAATTGGTAAACTTGTACCCAGTTGCACTAGAATACGATCCAATTGGCTTTATGCTGTAGTAAACCTGACTGTAGTGCAATGTGCTTAAAGAAAGCTATAATAAAAAGTGTAAAACAAATAATTGAAGGCCAACCATAGCCATGTTTGAATAAAATGGGGCAAACTTAGAATACCTGTCAGGTAGAAATCCCCTTGCATCCTGACCTGGTGACCACACAGGAAGTAAAACCATTCTTTTCAAATGGAAAACACACAGCAATATAAACCTGACAGCTATTCAAACACTACCTAACTGTTAAAGAAAAGTTCTCAAACTGACTTTGTGTCCTATTAAGAGAAATACATTAACATCCCCTCATAGTGACAACACAGGAAGTTAAAAAAAAACATATCTTAAATGAAGATAGTAACAAAAATGTGACATAGTGTCTTATTCAAAGCTAAAATATAAGGTTTTGGTTAGAATTTGGCTTAAAAAAGTGTATTTCACATGTTAGCTCTTTGGATTAATTATATACAAGGCAGTACATAAAGGAAGGTTTTATTGTAATTATATTATACCGTAGTTATACTACATTTATAATTCTACATAAAATATAATAACTAATTATATTTTATAAATTTAAATATATTACATAGATTTTCAAATGATAACTACCTTTAACTGATATTGAACAAATGCAAAGACTTATAAAACAACGACTGAATGGCACTTCATACTGAAGCATTATAGGGTTGCAGTTCCTCACTTACACCTCAGAGCGCCGCTGTTTGACCAATAAGAAGAAGAATACAGAACTGGAGATCCACTGGCATTTTATTCACTCACACTCTGCAGATCTTCATGAAGAGGCACAGCCATTTTCTGGATTTTCTCCTAACCTATTATACAAATATATGATTTTTTTTTCTGGATTACAAATGCTAAATATCCTAAAGGACACTTTTGGAAGATACTGAACATGGATGAGCTGAAGCACCATTTACAGACATACAAAGGAATTATATGGCAAGTAATATTTTCCTTCTATTGTTTCTGGCTCTGTAATTCAGTCTCGGGTCAGATGTATTACTCAATTGTAGAAGAAATGAGAAAAGACTCTATTGTAGCAAATATTGCTAAAGACCTTGAATTAGATATCAAACAGCTCTCAATAAGAAAGCTACAAATTATATCACCTATATCCGAGAAATATTTTTATGTGAATGTAGATAATGGAAATCTGTATGTGAAGGACAGGATAGACAGGGAGATACTGTGTGGGGCATCAGCTACCTGCTTCCTAACCTTTGATGCTGTGGTTGAAAATCCATTTAATATTTTTAAAGTCCAAATAGAAATTCAGGATATTAATGATAATCCTCCAGTGTTTTATCCTGAGACCTTAACTATAGAGACTATTGAGCTAACATCACCAGGAACAAGATTTGCATTACAAAATGCAGAAGATTTGGATATTGGTGTTAATTCAGTCCA